ACTGCAAATTTTAACAGTTTTAGTGGACAAGGAATAAGTTATAATGTCCACTCTTCTAGTTCCTGACAACAGCAAAACCAGCCAAGTACTTCAGGATCATTATACTGTGTTCCAAGGATCCCCGAATTAAATCGGTATTCAACAGTGCAAAAACTGTGCAAATCGGAACAAACGCAACAGCATTTTCTCCTTTCTTGTATAAATGGAACACATGCTCGTGGACTCCCCTGCTTTGTGCAAAGTTTTACTTACAACACAGAGGAACTCCACATGGCAACCTTGATTTGGATTAAATGAAGTAGGATCCCAGAGGCACGTTACAGGTTTTCAGTAAGCTAGGTATTGATCTGAGAACCTAAAAATGGCTTTAAGTAGCACAGATCTGAGAACAATTTCTCCTGAAATTATGAGATAGGATTAAAGTTTGCAGTTAATACTAAAAACAACTAGTGGCAATAAAAGAAAAGAAATTTTTATACGTCTAGGTTACTTTTGCATAGCAGAAGTCTTTGTTGAACAGAACAAGACAAAAATACACTCCTCCAAAATTATGACTTTTGTTCCTCCTCACTACTTACCAGCTTCTTGAAGTTTATCAAAAAGCATTCCGATCAATGGACATACTCAGTTCAGACACCTCTCATTCATTGGTCAAGGTTTTGTGCAGTTTTAAACCATGACAAGTAGTCACTTTTGGGGGTTTTTTTGTTTGGTTTTTTGTTTCATTTTGAGGTTTTTTTAAAATACTGAAAGAATTATAGTCTCTAACCTTACTCCTTGGCATCCAATACTTAAATACTCAGCACTGATATTAAGCCAGACACAGGTTAGTATTTCTTCCATGACCAGCTTGGTACTTGCACAGGCCTGAGAATATACACCTCTTTTTTTGCAAACTATCTAATCCGTGGTTTAGTTTCAGTATTTTCTAACTTACTTGAATTTAGAGTTTGACGTGTTTTGGCACTTGTGCAATATGCTTCAATGACTTTAAGAATTTGAGCATCTTCTTCTAAAGCAGCTGTACCTAGAATCAATGGGAAAAACAGAATTTTAAACACAGTTATGTTTCTTAATACAGAAAAGCCTTTGTAAATCATTACATTTCAGTTCAGCCTAATCAACCCTATAAAATTCTCTTTATCATCCCGTTTTAAAAATCAAACTGCAATAAGCAAAAGTAACAGTTTAAAAAGACATAATATGGGTTTTTTCCCAAGCATTCCAAACCAAAGTCAGAGCAATTACCTGCACATTCAAGAAATTCTCTGAGCACCTGAAGCTGCACAGAACATGTTTTGAAGTGTGATCACTCTGGTTCTAAACTAAGCAGCCATTAAACTGAAAAAAACTGTACACCCTGGTTATTATATACATATTATTTCATTATTTAATAAAAAAATCAAGGAACAGAATATTAGTTCACAGAAATCTTGGAACACTTTTGAGTTTTGCATATATATCAGATTTACCACTTTTAACAGCACACTATTGAAAATTAAACTCAGAATTAACATCATAATAAATACATCAGTACAATTTCAGTCCAGTGTGCAGTAAGAAAGATGTCACTATCACCGAAGTCTATCTATGAAAAGCGAAGTAATTAAATTTCTCGGACTTTAAAGTAGAAACAGCACCACTGAAAAAAAATCTAACTATTCAAGATTACATGACAATTTTCCTAAAAGTAGAGCTCCACAGCAAATCTTCTCCTTGGTGAATGCAGTAAAAATGCTGTCAAATTGTTCACTTGCAACAGAGTTAAATTCCAGTCAAACTGAAATCTAGAGGTACCTCTACCATTAGTTTAGATGGAACCAGGAGTTTACGTGTAGGACAAGACAATTTGTCGTTCTAAAAGCACTTTTCCTGTTTTTCTGCCCCTAAACCTTGAGGAAAAAACTAGTCTTGAAGATTTTCCGCTGCATGAATCTGAACTGCCTTCAACATCAAAACGTAGTAGTAGTATTCTCTGTCAGCCAATGCATCATTAGCTTTTGTGATATAGTATCACCAGAACAAAGCCAACTGTCCAAACATTTGTCAGGATCAGCTGACAAGGCAACTGTTGCAGAAATTATCCTGGCCTGATATAGTCTCCCCACAGTTTAAGAGACACAGGTACTCCGAAGTACATGGTATTTCTCTTTCGAGGCAAGAAAAATGAATGGACTTTGTTGTGGTTAGAATGCAGCACCATATTATTATAGTAGCAGGACAAATATTTCACTTCTGAAATGAGTATTGTGAGGGAATTCAGTTGAAATACCTTATTTTTGTTTGTCTGCTATAATGCTAATTTGACATAGCAGTTCTCAAAACACAGCCCATAAATCTCTGGGATTCCAGAGTAGGTAAGTAATAAAACCCAAACCTATTTATCAATAAGCTTTAAGTTCAATAGAAGTTCCTCAGTGGAAAACTTTTACAGCTCCAGCAGATGGAAAAGGTCAAAGGAACACCAACATATAACAGAAGTTTCTAATTACTGACACAA